ACACGGCTTGCTCCCCTGCCACTGCTGCAGAGCGGGAAACCCTGCACATCCGGGCCATTTCTCCTTCTGCTAACAGAATCCTCACTTACAAGATGCCAATTGAAAAGATGTTCAAGCAACCTGGTCTAGTGGAAGGTGTCCCTGCCCATGTGGATGAAATTTGCAGTCCCTTCCAGCCCAAATTTTGTGATTCCTTGTAGAAAATATTTTAGGCTGACACTTGCTGGTGGCAATGTTAAATAAAAGGTGAGAAAAAGCTGTCAAATCATCTTGCATGGAAGCACAAACAAGGAAAATCACTGTTCTTAAAAGAAAGACTGGAATTACAGAGACAAAAATAACTGAGCCCTGCTGACCATGGCAAAGATGAACAACACTGAGGACGAGCAAAAATATTGAGACTCTCTGTGAGAACAGACAGGCAAGGGGCAATTTCCCCACCCTTCCCAAAAGGCATCTCCTGTTAAACCGAAGCTGTCACTTGCTGATACTTTTCCCAGGATGGGAAAGCTGGCTGGAATGATGCCCAAACGCCAGAACAGCAGCAGAGCTCACAGCAGAAATCTCCTGAAGAGCATTTTAAAGACACCCCCCCTAGCTGGCTTTCCTGACTAAAACCATGCAGAGGAGCCTGAGAATTGAGCAATTTTTATTAGAAAAAATTATTCCATTTTTATTGAAAATGGAAAACAAGTGAAAAAATGAACAGGTTGACCAGCTTGTTTGCTCTGCTAGAGAAAATTGCTTGAGGATTTGACTTAAAAGAAAAACAGGAACACCAGCTATAATTTAAGCTCCTATTTAAAAGATACTCAGGACTAAGTTTCAATCTCATTGCTAAGAAGAGGGGAAGGTTTCAAAACAAAAGGAACTTGCTTTCCCCCCACAGCAGTGCTGCTCCAGATCTGAAATATTCTAATTATTTAATCCAGCATCTCCTCAGGACAGTTACACATCAGGATCTGACAAGGCATAAGCAGCAGGAATAAGGTATACAATGCAAGTCAGAATACATTTCACACATGGCCTCCCCTCAACAAACCAAGTGTATTTGTCCATGGGAAGGTTACAAAATCCTTCATCATTTAGCTGTAGTCACAGCAAATAGTCTCTTTGTACTAAATATGGGCAGAACATAATGTGCTTAGCAGTGGGTATTTGCTTTTCTTACAGTTTTGTCAAGTGGGGGATGGATTTGCATGCCAAAGCGGGTCATGACAGTTTGAAAAAGCAGTTTTATGTCTGAAAGTCCTGTGTGTGTGACCCAGACTTCAGGGGTGTTACCAGGCCAGCGTGGGCCCGCCCTGAGCACTCACCCCAAGGGTGGGGAAGAGTCACACTGGTGATTCAGACTAAAACACCCCACGGGTGTCTAAGGGAAGCACTCCACCTCCCTTAGGAGCTCCTCAGCATGTGGCAGGTTTAAAGTGCTCACTGCTTAAAAACTCGGGGTACTGGGAGAACAACTCCAGCTCTTGGAATCTGGCTCAGCTGGGAGGGACAGCATTTCACACTGTGCCAGAATGGAAGGAAAGGAGGGATAACTATCAGAATCACGTGAAATTAATCTTCCAGCTCCTCTGAATGAAGGCACTGTGCCCTCAAGTAGTTTATTGTTCAGCCAAGGAGAGAAGGGAGGTTTGTGAAAAGGGAAATGAGCATAAGTTTCCTTACTTTGCCATAGTCTCTGCAGACAGATCTTCAGGATTCCTTACTTTTGTTTCTCCTGAAAAAAACCCAACCCAAGTTAAGTTCACTTAAGTTGGAAAACTCCAGGCCCCCTCAGGACTTGGAGCAGTGATGGTACAAAGCTTTTAGGCACAGATATGAGGAGCAAGGCTACTGCAACGAACATGAATAATTAAGAAACACAGAATTAACAGGAACACTTGGTACTTTGGGTAGAAAACACTGCCCGTAACTGTGTTCTTTATGGATCTTAAAATGAAAGAACAGTCCTCATTTCTCATGGCAAGGACCACTTAGAGGTTATGGAAATATGAAAGATCCTTGGTGGAAGGAAGCAGTCCACCACTGTCTCAAGCAGAAGTTCAGGGAGTCAGCTTCTGACAGAAGCCAGTCTTCCATCCCTGCTTGTGAATCAAATTGGGATGCCTTAAGGATGAATTCCTAGTCATCCTGAGAGGGATTCATTGCATCTCCTTTAAAAAATGGGAGCATGTAACACGCTGGTTTGAGCCCAGATTTATTTCTTTGCCTTACCATGGCCTCGGAGGTCTAAGGCCACAATCCTACACTGGATCCTGCTGATGATTGCAGACTGCAAGGAGAGACAGAGAGAACACTGTTTGCAAACTGGGGTTAGCAGCAACAAGCAGTTGCAGCAACAAACGGAGCAGCAGCTTCACTTACAGTAAACACAGCCCAGGACAGGGCAGAGTGGCCTCCACCGTGCAGCAGCAGCAAGACAGGCCCCTCCAAGCCACTTTTGTAAATTCGAAAAGTGTATGAACAGTTAAGGACATTTCTCTGAGCTACTTCAAGGCACCAGAATGGATTTTGGAGCTTGCAATACCAAACAGAAGTTTATTTCTACCATTCATTTATCTGACCAACAGGGATGTTCAAGCATTACCTGGACAAAAATGTAACTCAGTTTAAGCTTCAAGAGTTGTATTCCTGCTGCCCAGGTTTTCTCCCCCTCTTTAATTCTCTTATCCTCTGTCCTCTTCTCCCTGGGCACAACAGGGAAGTGAACTAAGAGAAAACTAGAAATACGTTAGGAAAAATGATGGAGAGTTATTTCTACACAGGCAAAATAATGAGAGGGCAAAGGAATGGTTTTAAACCAGAAGAAGGACAATTTAGATTAAATGTTCATAAGAAATTCTTCCCTGTGAGGGTGGGCAGGCCCTGGCACAGTGCCCAGAGGATTGCCCTTGTATCTCTTTTAGTGCCCCAGGCCAGGCTGGACTTTGGGGCTTGGAACACCCGGGAAAAGGGCAGTGTCCCTGCCATGGCTGTTGGAAACACTTTTTAAAAATTATAAAAAATTAAATTAAATTAAATTTAAAATGATTACTAAAGAGGTAATATTGGGAATCAGCCTTGCTAGGCACGGTTTAACTGTCAGCCTACATGGGATAGTTCTGGTTACTGACACTGAACCCTGCAGGAGACATAATGGAGGATGAGAAGGAACACATGAAAAAGCTGAGGAGCCCAAATAAACTAAACAAAACGTGATACCTCCCCCATAATCTCTGAGATTATGACAAATTCAATATGGGGAAAGAAAAAAGGATATATCCTTGCCAGTTTCATTTTCTACCACAACGTCCTCCATAGACTCAAAGTACTGGCTCCAAAGCACTGGTGAAAAATCACGCTTTCTTCCAGGGCTGCAAGACAGAAAAATTCCATAAGAAAGAGTTATTTTTAAAGTCTTCCACTGAAATTGGCATCCAGGCCTCCTCTCACTGAAGAGAACATGCTGGTGTTACACAACAGCTCAGACTGGAAGCAAACGGCGCATCAGTGAAATGCCCACACAACCACAATATCCAGAGTTTTACTGTCACTGAAGGAATCCTCCCCTAATTGTTGCTCCTATTGAGGAAATGCAGTGGAAACAGAGAAAAGAGTATTTTCCTCATCGAGTAATTCCAAGGAAGACTGAACAATGGTGATTTGGACTACCCAGACCCAAACCAAGGGAAAATAAGCAGAACAGTGATACTGTCCCAGTGCCACCTCCGAGTCTGCAGTGACCACAGGCAAAAGGTGCCCAGCTGACAAACCCATTTATTTTTTGCTTCCTTCAAAAGGTGCAGCTGTGCCCTCTCCTTGTACCACCATTACTGACAAAAGGCTCTGCAATCAGAATTTTCCTGATGACTCAGTTGATGCAGAATTTGTTTCTCGGGCTGGTATTTACTCAGTAAGGCTAAAAGAGTAGTGCTTAATTTTGGAAGTGGCATAATTAGGCTCAATTCTAGCCCAGGATACAGGATGAGTAACAGTGCACCATTTTAACCATGTTTTTGCACTTCAGCTCTTCTGGGGGAGGCAGGCAGGCAGCACAGAATATTAAAATCAAGCATGGGCGTGAGGGGTGAAAGACCTTCAGAGCAGAAAAATTCCTGCTGAAGAAGTTTCTCCTGAATTCTTGGCTTCCTAAAGAAATAGAAAATAACAGACAAAGCAGCTTTTCAATTTTGCAGAAACAAAATTTCTGTTTCCCCTGATGTTTCTAGGATATGAAACATAAACCAGCCACCCCCTGAATGGACCAAATTCCCTCCTGTGGGTTTCCAGACTTCTTCTTAAATCTCAATTAAATAAAATGAGAAGTCACACACCTACATAAATCCAGAAAATATTAATCTCTTTTACCACCTCAGCCTAATCTCATCCTCTGATCAAGGAAAAAAATATCACAGTCAAAGCTTAATTTTTCCCTGGAAGGCATCCCAGCCCTGATCACATGCTCTCTCCATACCAGTTCTGGTTCTTTCTGGGGAGGGAGAGAACTGCCCACAGCTTGGATCATTTCCCCTCTCTGGGTTTTGAACAGGTAGGATGTGCAGCTAGTGAAAATAAATTCCTTCACCCTCTCAAAATGCAGCATTTCAGCTGCAGCCAGGCTTTTGCACAGCAGGTTACAGCTGCTGTGGGGTTCCACTGCCCTGAGCAGCTCCAGGAGATCAGCACGTGCTGTCACCTGCCTGGCCACAGCCCTTCCCACCTGATCCATGCATGTGGTGGGCACCAGGAACGCCCTGGTGGGCCAGCCCTGGCCCTGCTGTGGCACCAGCAATCTGTAGGGAACGTGGGGACCGATGGTGGCACTGAATGTGCCACATGAGCCCAGCCCTGGCCCTGCTGTGGCACCAGCAATCTGTAGGAAATGTGGCATCCAAGCAATGGTGAGGAAACGTGAGTGACCCCAAAAAGGGCACAATAAATGTGCTGCTTTCCACAAAATCCCAGGTGACCACAGAGGGCTGAGCAAAAACATTTCTCCAAAGAAAAGAATCCTTGATTTTGAGTTTTTCTAGAGCTGCTTTTTTTAGTGAAGCATCAACACACATTCAGAATTAGGAGGGTGCCAAATAAACAGCAGCTGTGGTTTTGCACCTTCCTATGTTGAAGTCATATTTTGCTGACCAATATTTAAGCTGACAGAACTAACTAATAGCTTTTTAAAGTATCCAGCAAACCAAAACAGAAATGGATCTAACATAACAACTTTTCTAGACTGGTCCTTAAACTCCAAGCCAGCATATTAAACTGGAATTACAAAACAAATTCTGGGCACCCTCTGTTTTATGCTATTGTGCAGTTTGTCCTCTTTATCCTTAGGATGCCCACATGGCTCACCAAATCTCTCCCCAGTTTTTGAAGGGGTTTTCTCTCAGGTATTTTCCTAAAATTAAAAAAAAAAAAAAAGTTTCCCCAAGCAGAAGGAACCATTTTCAGAAAGTCCTTTTTCTGCTGAGAGCCCCTATTTAAAACTACTAAAGCAAATATAGAACAAGTGCATGAATCAGGAGATTTCATTCTCACATCATATTTGAACCCAAGCAAATCCAACATCATCTACAAGTACAAACTGCCACGGCTGACAAGTTGTATTTAGAAATTCTAAAAATTGACAAGGACAGTATCTTAAGTTCTGCCTTAGAGATGCTGAATACATAAAATGTTTTTTTTTTTTATTAAAAGGATTCCAAGGGGAAAAAGTGGATTAAAAAGGAAAAAATGAGTAGGAATTGCCATGATTGAATTACACAGATCTGATCCAATCGTGTCCTTCTGGATAATTCAAAGATCTTCAGAGATTGTATGTGATTTTTACTCACACACTGGAAAGGAACAGCAAACTGACTTTCACTTTTAAATCCCATCCAGGTGCTTAACTCTGAATGAGCCACGAGCAAAAAGCAAAAGGTAAAAAACAAGACAGGAAATGCAGAAGCTGCTACAGCTGTTGGGATCTGCTGCCATGGGAGGTGACTTCACAAATTCTATTATTTTATTTCCCCACAGAACACAGAGTCAGCCCATAAGCCTGATTTTGTTTTGTTTTGTGACTTTGATTTTGTTTTTGGTTTTCATCTGTGGAGCAATTTGAAGGAATCAGTTGCAATTCCCAACACAGCCTTGGCCATGAGTGCTCCTTAAAGAAATGGGCACGGAATTCCTCCCAGAGGCTGAGTTTCACATATTGCCTGAGCCAAGGAGAAGCTCCAGCCTCCTTTGGAAAGGGCCTTTTGGAACCATCATTTCTGCTGCAGAGCACTTAAATCCAGGGAGCAGAGGACTGTGCTGGCAAAGCAGGAACTGATGCCACGTGCCACGAAAGGCACTGAAATTCCAGCACACATCCCATGCTCCCGCAAAACCCACTCCAAAGCATGTCAGAGGAGCCACGCTGGGTGCCAGGGAGAATTCCCTCCCCAGAGGGCTGCCCGGTGAGTCCCCATCCCTGCAGGGACTGACAGCAGTGTGCACGTGGCACTGGGGACGTGGGGCAGCGCTGGGGAAAGGCTGGACCCCAAGATCTTGGAGGGCTTTTCCAGCCTGAGCCATTCCATTATTCAGTTTGCTTCGGCCACTTTGACTTCCCAAATGAGACTCTCCCACAGAGAGACATAAGGAAGTGATTGTACTGAAAAAATAGCGAGAAAAGAATAAATTTTAAAGAAAAAGCTAGGAACAAGTTTATTTTCACAGATTTAAATGCAGCAACAGGTGGCATGTTTTTAGGAACTACTGAAACACACATTAACCTTTTAACAGCATATTGCCAAAAATTGTAAGACTTTATTTAAGTTAGGAAGTTCTCAGTAAATTCTGTTTTTCTGTAGCAATCTCACATGCTTGACCCTCTGCTTCTCAAGATCTGCTTTCAGCTACACCACAGTCACATTAAGATGACCTGCATGGTGGTAAAAAAAGGGAATAAAAAGAAAGTGCCCCACACACCAGTCAGAGGATTTAGCCATGGAAAACTCAAGTTGCTGGCATTCTTGGATATTAAGGTTAAACACATTTTTTTAAAAGCCTGGCTTGCAACTCAAGAAATTGAAAGTGCAGAAATAAATCACGTTTATAAATGCGAGATGCTTAATGCAGCAAATAAACATTTTTATTTGTTCCCTGTAGAAGTTAGAATTGTGAAGGACTATTTCAGGGCAGCTCTGCACATCTGCCAGCACTGTAAATCACACTGTGTTTTCCCTGTACAACTAATCCCTTTCTCTTTTGGTGGAATTCTCTTCAGGGGGAATCTTGCACTTGTTTGAACAGAACTGAACTTAGGAAAGGATAAGCTCAGCTTAAGCTGAAATTTCTATCCCACTCCCTCTTGTCTCCTTTTCACAGAAGCCCCAGGCCCCTCTGGATGAGGCCATTCCATGCTGGATGTGCAGCACCTCCCAAACAGGAGCATCCCTGTAAAGGGATTTACTGGGTGGCAGAGGGGTAAATCAAACCACAACATGATTATGAATTACTCCCCACTGCTTCCAAGGGAAGATTCCAGGGTAATTCCTGATCCTTAACCGCAGCACTGGATTTGGTTTCACTCATAATCATTTCCCTGACAGTGGTTAAAATCCCTCCAGTGCATGGTAAGAGAGGAAAATTTATATAAATTAATACAAGTTACACCCTTAGACACTGGTCAGACTTCTCTCATAGCTCCCAAAATGTGCTCTCAACCCCTGCTTAAGGGATTAAAGAGTATCCCCGACTTTTCCATCATCTCAAAATGCAGATTTAAGCAGGGATTAAAGTCACTTGGCAGTCACTTCACATGGGTGTCTGCGGCTGAGAAATCCCGTTTCACAGAATCATGGAATGTTCTGACTTGGAAAGGGACCCCCACAAGGACCACCACAGTCCAGCTGCAGGTGAGGAATTCAGCTCCTGAGAATTTCCACGCACCTCTCCCCCTCTGAGGTACCACCCAGACATGATGCTGGACCCTTCCTGCAAGCACTGATGGCAAAAGCACCGGGAGGAAAGCGCTGGAGAGCTGATCCCAGCACCCTCCCAGCCGGAGGGTACGCTGGGCACTGGTGCCTCTGCGGCTGGAGAAGCCTAATCCAGGTGTCACTCTCCTGGAACACGGGGAAGCAGGACCAGCCCTCCCTCCAGACCCCTAACAATGACCATGCCTCCCTCCAGATCCCCCAGCAGTGACCGTTCCCTGTCCAAATTCCCTCTGTCCAGATCCCCCGGTAATGACCATTCCCTGTCTCGATCCCCCAGTAGTGACCATTCCCTGTCCAGATCTCCCAAAAATGACAAATCCCTGTCCCGATCCCCCGATAATGACCATTCCCTGTCCAGATCTCCCGAAAATGACCATTCCTGTCTAGATCCCCCGATAATGACCATTCCCTGTCCAGATCACCCAGTAATAACCACTCCCTGTCCAGAGCCGGAATACCGTGCCTCCCTTCCTGGCAGATCCCCCCACAAAGATCCCCGGTCCCTCCAGACTCCCGGCCCGACCCCCCGCCCTGCAGAGCCTCCGCTCCGCTG